AAAAAAAAAATCGTCGATTCTTTTTTTTCTCATTTGTATAATACATTATTTGATAATATGTCGTCCTTCAATCAAATTCAGACAGCTTGTGGTGCACTTGGTTATTTCGATAGTAAAACTTATTTAAAAGATGATGATTGTGAAGGTTTGTCAGAAGAAAAAAGATTTTTTCTTTTCTAAAATATCTTAATTTTTATCTTTTTCTCGATTGATTTTATATTTAGATGCATTACGTATTCTACTTCGTTGTCTTAAATATGATAATGAACGTAAAGATGCTCGATTACAAATGCTTGAATCAAAAATACTAGAAAATGATCTTATACCTATTCTTATTTATTTGAATAGTAAACAAGATGCAAAAATTATTCATCATGCTCTCAAGTAATTAAAATTAAACCGTCCATCCTCCTATAGAAAGTCAATTTTCATCAGAAAAGAAAGAGCATTGCAGTCTGACATGATTCTTTAAATTGAACCTATCTACCAACGACGAAATGCTTACGAATCGTATTTTTTATGAACGCTTTCACGGATAGTCCATCGCAAAAAAACACAAGGTTCTCAGAAAATTTTGTCGTCTATAGAACTCAGCAGAGCTTGTTAGACTGTTCATTTTCGTGAAAAGATATTCAAATTTACTCAATAAATGATGGTGCTAGGATCAATATGCTTAAAAACTTAGGCTGTTCCTGACTACCACTTAGCAGTTTTTGAGTAAACTTGAGAATTTTTTTACGAAAAATGATCAGCGCAATGAGCTCTACAAATGAAAACATCTTCTGAGACCCTTATATTTTTTGTGGTTGACTCCTCATGGAAGTATCCATGAAAAATACTATTCACAAACATTTTGTCGTTGGTAATATAAGATGAGCACCTGCAGAGAATTTCGGATTGCCAAATAAACTATTTTTGACTTTTATTTGTTGAATATCTTCCGAAAACGTCATCATATAGACCTGAAATTTTCATATAATTTGAATGTACCTAGTTGAAGATCGATTTTTTGAAGGAAAGGGAGTCATATTTGAAATATTATTTATTTAGATTACTTGTTAATTTAACAAAACCTCCATTAGTATGTTTTGATGGAAAATTACCAAAAGATGTAACATTAACAAATGTTTATTTAAAAATTGAAGTTCATTTACAAAAAACAAAAACTGTTTGTATTATAATACGAAATTATTATGTTTTCTTTTTTGCATAATTTTTAAATATATTTTTATTTTTTTTGTTTTTTAAGAATTTAGCAAATGAAAAACTCTTCGATTTTCTTGTTAATAAAGTTCAACCAGTACTTGATACAGTTTAGTTGATTTGATTCTTTTTTTTCAAATTTACAAATAATTATATAATTATTTATATTTTTACTTTTTTATTATTATTCAGAAATGGCTTGATCGATCAGATGAAGATGATTTCATTTTACATGCAGTTTTTACACTTGTACGAAATATTCTTTCAATTAAATCTGAACGACAAATTTCAGAAGAAAGTGATATTAATGCACATGATCTTGTTCTATGGTAAGAATAAAGATGATTATATTCAATTAATAATTTTCTTTTTAATTGAAATATATTTAAAGGTCAATTCATAAAAGTAATATGGAAAATTTAATATTATTTTGTGGTAATAAAGCTCAAGGAGATGAACGTATTATGAATATTCTTGAAATTCTTGTTTTAATGTTACGAGAACAAGTATGTATAGAAGAATTTTCTTTTCTATTTTTTGTCTTTCTCTGTTTGATATAGTCTGCACAAGAATTAGCTTATACAGGTGAACAACAAACAAAAAATCAGCGAGAGAAGACTAATGAGTAAGTTATCATAGTTTTTTGTTTGGACTATTATAAATATATAGATAACTTCTTGGAAAAATAAAAATGAAGCGATGCGATGATTTATCTTGTCAAATAG